ATTCTTTTCTATAGAGATTTGAGCACAAACATAGTTTGATCTTAATATTCAAAATTTTCAGGGCATTTCAATAACTAAAGCACTCAAGACATCCATCAATAACAAGTAGGTAGGCTGCTTACCAAGTGCATCTCATATATAAGCAATACATCAATAACTACAACATCAAAACTTTCAGAGTACAGGTTTTCATTTGGGCGCTCATTCCCTTTCTTTCACTTTCCTCGGGCCAATTTCACCTTCATGTCTCTGCTCCAGTATTGTTGTGTGGTTCACTTCACCGTAAAAGTAACCTTTTCTAGATTAGCTTTCAGAAAGAAGTTCAAATCACGGCAAATTAAATTCTAGAACAAGCAAATCTAGATCGGGAAAGAAAGATTTTAAGTGCTGCAATTGTGGCAAGAAGGGTCATTTCAAGAGTGAGTGTCGGGCATCGAAGAAAAATACCGGCGCACAGGAGTTTGCCAACATGACCGAGGAAGGAGGTGATGCTATGATTCTAAGCGTCAACGGTCCGATTGAATAATGGATTCTTAATTTAGGAGCATCCTACCATACCACCCCTTGCCGGGAAATCATGGAGAACTACGTCAGCGGTGATTTCGAAAAGGTACATCTAGTATATGATGAAACCTTGAAGATCGTTGGTAAGGGAGACATCCGATGAAAATTTCCAAATCAGACCACATGGAAGCTGCCAGGAGTGAGAAATATTCCTGGCCTTAAAAGAAATTTGATCTCCGTAGGATAGCTTGATGGAAAGGGTTACTGTATACCTTTCTCAGGTCATGAATGGAAGATTACCAAAGGAGCACTCGTCATTGCTCGAGGTAAGAAAAGTGGTACTCTCTATGTAACCTCTAACCTAGAGAATATTATTGAAGAAACAGATGCAGATGAAAAATCAAACCTATGGCACTAAAGGCTTGGCCATATGAGCGAGAAATGGATGAAGACACATCTGTGAAAAGGGAAGCTGCCGGATCTGAAGAATGTGGATGTTGGCCTATGCGAGGATTGCATCTTTGGCAAAATCTTGAACAGTTATGTGTATAGACATTGGACCATTCTATTAAATCACACTTCTCAACTGTCGTAATATGCTCTTTAAGAACAATGCAACAAGAGAAAAATGGAAGGATTGACATCTCAAACATTAGATGAGAAGCTCTGCAGCAAACAAGCTGAACGTAAACCAAGTCAAGTTTGCATAATGACACGCGTAAGGGCATTTACAACAAGATTATTCTACTGAATTGGGACCTTGCATAAGAACACGAAAGTCTTATCCTTTGTATACAAGCAACCTCGACAAAAGTATGTGTCAGCGTGATGTGCACTATAACTGAATGTTTTACAGTAACAAACATTTATATCGTAATTTCATAACTAAACTTATAGTTTCCTGTTACAATGTAGCCAAATTCCCCAGACTAACAATTCTACGTTACAGGTGAAAGTTGATACTGTAAAAATCAAAATAACCCAAAAGTCTTCAATACGCAACACCATACCTTGTCATTAACATCACAAAACTTCAACCTTTCAGTGAAAATCGAATCCCCTTTACTAACTTTAAACTTGTACGAACCAATCTACAATAAACACAAACAATACAGTCCCAAAGACAAAACCTTGTAAAGTTTTAAAACCAAAAGAAAGTCAAAAGTCACAGACCTGGACAACAACAAAAACAGGCTACCAAGGTTTAAACGGCCGCTCTGAAGGATCAAGCGGCCCAATCACTTTGTACCTGATATCAGCAGCCTTGTTAGCTTTCTCCTCCACAGATTTCCCACTCGCTCGAAATGTCTTCACCGATCCATTGCAGCTCTCATCGACTTCATCATTATCATCATCTTCTTCTTCTTCTTTGTATTCTCCTTCTTCTTCCTCTTCGTCGTCTTCATCATCGTCTCCAATGGATCCGAAGGTCGAGAAGAAAAATGGCGACTTCGAGGAGGATTGATGGATTGATGTTGATAAAGTGGGAGGATGGAGTTGGAGTGAGGGTTTTTGAGGGTTGAGAGGAGAAGAGATCGAAGAGTTAGGGTTTGAGATTTGATGAGAGAAGGAGGAGGAGATGAGGAGAGGAGAGATCGAAATTGGCGGGTTAGGGTTAGGGTTAGGCATCGTAGCGACGCCATTGGGGGCGGCGATCAGAGGGGGGAAATGGAAGCGAGGGTTTTGGAGAGGTTTGGACACAACTGAGAATGGGAGATGGGGCTCGGTGCTTAATGGGCCAGGATATGTGGATCGGGCTTAAATTAATCTAAGGGCTATAATAAGAATGAAACCCATCATCAGGTGTCAAACTTACTGTCATCAGTGTTATGCTGTTTTTATGTTGTTACTTTAATTATCTAGTATATAAAATCCACTTTCAGATCATTTATATGTAGCTATCAAAAGATAATTAAAAATATGATATAATATTAATAACTATAAAATATAAAATGATATTGCCATATCATCTTTACATATCTACTTTCAATAATACATTAATTTTGTAAGTAAACAATGTATTTCACTTAATACATTTTTCCACTTGCAAAAAAAAAAAATTGTGACTTTCATACTTTCAATTCACTTGTACATTCTAGAGTGAGGAGTTCATAGTCTAGGATCGCACGGTAAAAAAACCTAAATAAATAAATTTTTTGTAGCGGTGTTATTTCACTTTATTTCTTTACTTTTTCTCTTGATGATTTGGTCGGTAGACAGGGGAAATTTTTTGTTAGGAAGAATAGTATGCACAGAATCACTATACGGAGTCATTTGTCTGTGCTTGAAACCTTAGATGATCGTCTAGATATTCAATACACCGTATCACCATATTTCATTCAACTAATTAAGATAATCCAATTCGTACCTCTCCTTTTCATGCTTAACACCTTCACAATATACCTCACTGCCAAGTCAACCAGCTACTACCTCAAAAGCTCTCAAATGAGAAAACATCCCGAAAAATTATTTCACAAAATGTGGGAAGAAATACTTATGTTCCTTATAAGTATAACACCACTAACAAATGGAAAATGGAACGAGGCACCCTGAAAACTGAAACCATTCTT